TCTACATAAACAAAGGAAGGAACTCTGAGGTGCTTAGATCCTATGATAATGCGTACAATATGAAATACTTGACCCACGTAGTTGTATCAAACCAAGCCTGAAGACAGCCTAAAACAATGGCTTGAAGCAGTTCCTGCTCATTTGAAAGAGATATTAACTTTGAAGCTAAATGAGAATGTTGCCAGCAGTGTTAGTTATTTCACTGCCAAGAGAGAGGTGAATGATCATGCTAGGACAATGTATTCTTCACGCTTCCTCATTTAGCAATAGGATCAAAAAAAATTCTGTGTTTGAGGTCAGAATAAAAATTATCCTAAGACATTCTTCAACTTAATATCCATGGGTGGGATGAATTTCACCAAATTTTAGGTGTCTAGAGTTCTCGTACATCTAAGCTACTCATCTGGGCTCCTTCAGTATCACTTATCACAAATGTTAATGTTTAAAGTAATTTGTGCCCCTGTTCCCACCTCCCAACACCACGTAGGTGATGTCCCCGGTCAGATGTTCACAGTGGAGAGCGTGGCAAGGTAGGCTAGAGAAATCCTACACTAAAAGTCTGCCATCAAATATTTAGCTTTGTGCAGCTGGGGATTGGCAGGGGCAGAGAGCTTTGACAGGTAGTGACTGCCACTTTCTTTCACTTGCCCACCTTTAATAGTAGCAGTTATGTGTCAACCATATTCCAGACAACAGCTGATCAAGTCCCATACACTCTTCACTGAATGATAAACTAAATCCCAGTTTAATTTGTAAAGGAGCCAGACCTGAGCCATAAAGTGAACCTAAAAAAGGAAAACGTTAAGTCTGGAATTGGTGTTTTAAATAAATGTGGAAGTGGGAACTGGACGTGTTGCTTTTCCTTAGCTTCACTGTTAAGACATTTAGTCTGCTTTCTTTCCTTCTCTCATACTGTTTGGAATTAGGAGGGAACCTATATCTTGACAGCTAAGAGCAGTCTAGAAAACTTCTACTGTAGGTATTATCAAATTTAGGTCAGACACTTCCAACACTCCCCACAGTAAACAAGTAAAATCTGCGGTTTTTACCTTCGAAAATGTGACTCATCTACTCAGCAGTCAGATGCAGCCCTGGTAGCTCAGCTGGAGCCCAGTCTGAAACATCAGTAGAACATCCTGTCTGGCTGAGAGATGCATAAACACTCCTTACTGAATAGGATTTAATCTAATGTTGATCTTCACGCAGTTAGCGATACCATGTTTTTGTGTTTTAATGGTTATCCTGTTTATCTCATCTTTCTGACCTAAGTCCAAATCCTTCTGCTGAATAGGTGTCTTAATAATACTAGCTTAAAATAAAGGAACAGAAAGGCTTAGTCATTAATATAATGCATTAGTCTAACAGGCCACAAGATTTTTTATTAACTTCATGTCCTCTCTGTATAGTTCCTCTCTTTCTTGGATTTTCTTCTACTGTACTTGTTGAAAATTTGTGGTAAAGTTAGACATTCTACTGAAGACTTCTTTTTTTCTGGATGATGTAGGCATACACTTTTCATTGATTACAGTAAAAATTCTAATCAGAACAACAGAAGAAAGAAGAATTAAACTCAGTGAACACATATTATTCAGGCTTGGCATTCTGTGCACTTTGCTTTTATGGAATATCACACGACTTTGAAAAGCTTTAAAAATGAAATGGTTTTTGGAAAAGCTGTCCTGGTGTGTCACTTACAACATGCTTCAACAACACAGGTAATTTTTTTTAAGACACAGGCAATTGAAATATTCTTTCTGGTCAAAGAAAATGCTGCATGTGAGAGCTGCTGAAGTCTTGGTCTATTTTCAATAGCTTCTGAGAAAGCGAGTCAATGTTTAATGGGGAGCTGGCTAGAATTTCAGATAGGGTTGCAGAAGATGCCATTTCCATGCCCTGGGGCTTTTGAAAGCCCACAAATGATAGGACAGATTCCTCCTTTGGCATTGGTCTTTTATGTATTGATCCTAAAATAGGCACAGCCTAAGTACAACCATAGCAGATGTCTGTCGCAGAGCATTATGTCTTTTGCGTGCACAATTGCTGTTTGCTATCAGCTGTAGGGTATTAATAAAACATGTAAAATAAGCACATTACCATAAACAGGAAGGAATCTTAGACAAACCCAAGGTTTTCCTCACATCACATTTCTCAGTTTATCCATACTCTCTTGTTTTTTCCCACTTTTCTCTTTGTTTTGCTGTTGGTTTTATGATTTTTTTCTTTTTGTTTATAACAACAATTTAGCTAAAACATGCAGTTAAGAGGTATATCTTCTATATCTCTGTAACCTCTTTACTTTCACTGTTTTATGGTGATTATCTCATGTCCATCTTCCTTCTTTTTCCTTTTCAACTGTTTTTCTTATGAACATGCAGTGCTCAAATAGCAGAGCCACAAAGTTGACCTTCCTTTCACTTACTTTTCCAGAGTTAGTATTATTTTTTTTTTCAAATAATACTTCTAAAATTCTTTGGTAACAATAATTTAAACACCAGCGCTTTTGTTGTGAATCTTTGGGGTTACAAAAAACCAGAAATCAAAGCCTTCAGGAATCAAACTGCCCTCAAACCTGCCCATATTCTGTTTGCAAAGTACATTTTCTATGGAAATTATCTGGCTATGAAGAGTGAGACTTCATTGTTCTTGTTCTTGGGAACTACTAGGGAAATAGCTGAGATCTCAAGAGACCTCTCTCAAAAGGGAAGAGGCTTAGCTCTTGAGAGGAGCAGAGTGTACAAAGAGCTACAAAGTTTCTCTAGACACCTACTTACGGCCTGTAAAGGAAGACCCCATGAGCCTAATTTTTTTTGAAATACAAATACTACATGTTTTTTAGTATAGCTAAATAGCAATAGAACAACAAAATGCGGAATATTGAAGGAACATTCAGAATAGTTATAGATATCACATTTATAAAAGCTGTATGTACTGGAGAATCTGATTTTTTGACTAAGCATTCCCAAACATGAGGAGAAAGGGAAAATAGTTTGTTCATACTAATCAGGGTATAAGAAACACTTAATGACTGGAATTTTTTTTTTTTCTTCAAATGCACAGAAGTGGAAGCTGCACACAATATGTTCACAATGGGTTTTCTTAAAGACACATCATTTATCTTAAAAAGTGGGGAAGAAACTGTAGTGCTTATAGGGAAACAGGCAAATGAAACTGAAGTACATAAACATGACCTTGAAAAATACGTGGAGAGGGAATTAGTCTCGAGCTTAGCTGAGCACTGTCCAAAACTGAAAAAATACGTGGCACCTCCCCAAGCTGATTTGATTTTCCATCATACAGTTCTCAGGCTTCCATTCAGGACTCCCATCTGAGGAATCTCACTAAGAGTAGGAAACATGTAAGAATTTGTGGAACCACGGCCCCTTGGATCAGCCACGTTAAGATCCAGTCTTGGATTTTGCCCTTGTTTATTTCTAAACTGAAAGTTTAATTGAGTTAATCGTTGCTGAGGAATGTAATGAAGATTGAATCTGAAATCAAAAAAAGTTTGTTTGCACTGTCATAACTGTTCAAAAAATGTTATATTGTGGTGGAGGAAGCTTTCATTATTGTAAGAAAGCTCAACAGATTTAGAAAACTGCTTCTGAACAAAGACTTGGTGGAGAATGTGAACTGTTAACTTTTGCATTTTAAATTGCCTATGAAATGTTTTGAGCACAGTTATGCTTATCATAGGCCCAGGGTTTTACTAAGCATTCAGACTTGTTCCTTGGGGGGAACAGATGTGTTTTTCAGTGGCTGGCCAAATATCCTCCCTTTGCTTTGACAATCTTTATGTATTTCATAAAACTGTATTGTGTTTCATTGCTGGGCTTTTATTTTTTTTTCTAAATTCTACTTCTTTATGTTTATGCGTAATGTTTTTATGTTTTACTTAGAAGGACATGGGTACACAAGACAGTGAGTGTGCAGCAAGATTAGTGCATCTATAAAATGCACTTCACTGTAATAATACATGTATTTTGCATTGTTATATAGTATCCTTTTTTTAGGTGCTACTGCTTTTCATGTGGAGAGCAATGTGTGCTGAACCAGAAGACAAGTTCTTAAGAATCTGTCCTTTGTTTCAACTAAGCTTTGTTTTTTCCGTGTGGTAGGTAGGACAGAGAAGGTAATTCATGGTCAAAAAAGGAGGAAGAGGCTTTGGCAGGCAGGCTGGGGAGTTGGATGGCACAGCGGGCACAGCACTAGAAACCCAGGCTCTGAGGGAAGAAATCGGGATGGTGTATGGATGCAAGAGGATGCTTGGAATCCTCCAGATCTCACAGGGAAGGACGAAGCATCCAGATTTAATCCGCTGTTTTTCTTTCAAGAAGCTCTCTTCCTCATCAAGCCCGAACTGCTAAAAACGTAAGTAGCTGCCAAACAGCGGAACAGATCTGCGTCTGCAAGCTTGGGGGCAGGATCATGAATCAAAAACTTCTCATTTAACACTCCTGACCTGCGCTTTCCCTATCCTCTCACTTCCCTGGCTGTGGGGAGGAAAGGTCAAGAGCTGATGCCTCTGTGCAAATGGGAAATATGTCAAGAGGTGTACAGGCGCAAGTACTTTCTCTTCCTTTGTTAAAAAGCGGGAAATACAACTGGGCAGAAGCGGCTCCCGCACGGTCTCCCCTGGCACAGGGTGTCCCAAGGGGAGGTGCACAGCTGTCCCAGAGGACAGAGGATGCCCCGAGGGCCTTGGAGCCCCGTGCCGGGGCCGGCAGCCCTTCCCTCGGGGTGGAGGGTGGGCGTTGGAGCTCCGCAGAGGCAGAGAGCGCCGGGCAGGGCCGAGAGCCGGCTATCAACGCTACTGTGGCTGTGGGGTGTGGGGGTGCGAGTTCTGGGGCGGCTTCTCTTTATCTCGTTGTTGTCCGCAAACGGCCGGGGCGGAAGTTTCAGGCTTTTCTCCCTCGCCCAGCTCGGGCGGGACACCGCTGGGCGCAGCTGCCCTGCCTGGTGGGGAGCGGGCAGGGCCCGGGAGCAGGGCTTGTTTACCGCTCCNCCCGAGGGCGGCTGGGCTGGGTGGTGTTGCTGGCCGCCATGTGGTGCAACGGCGCCGTCTTTGGCATTCAGAACTCGTGCGGGGTCCTCTTCGTCTCCATGCTCCGGCTCTTCGGCAGCAGCGAGGACAAGCAGCTGATATTTAAAACAGGTGAGGGGCGGCCGGGGAAGGGGTCGGGGTGGCTTCCAGCCCACTCCGCCTCGGGCCTTCCCCGCCTGCAGCCCGGGAACAGGAGGTGCCCCGGCCATCAGGGGGCTCTCCGGCCATCAGCGTCCGAGCCCCGGGGGGGGCCGCAGGAGCGGGACCCCTCTGGAGGGCCGGGCCGGGCCGGAGCCTGCTGGGACGCTCGGGAATACCCCCGAGGGGAAGGGCAGCTCACCGGGCAGCCCTGCGCCCGGGCAGCGACCTGCCGGGGTATCGAGGCTGAAGCTGCGGGAGAGGAGCAGGTGTGCTCGCTTCTTTCACAACTGGATCTTTAGGCGTCCGCTGCCGTGCCTTATTGGGTTACGATGCACATTTCTGGCCGCAGACACCTTTATTCCCCTGCCCCCGTTAGCCTAAAGATAAGTCTAAACGATTAATTAATAGTGGGGTATAGTGGCGCTTAAGATATGTCAGGAATGGGCTTGACAGTTGCCATAGCATTTTGATGTGCAGATTTACTGCTGCAACCAGTGTCACAAAACTCACCAGTGAAGTTAATGGTATTTACTAAACTTTAAAGACATTACAGTACTCTCACGTGTTACTGATCTAAAGCACTTTAGACATATAAGATTCAATTAGTTTAAAGGTAAGCATACATTCTGCTTTATTTTATGTAAGTTTTCTGTGGAAAGTGTCTTTTGCTCTCTGATTTGTAAATTGAGGAAACGAAGTTTTTGGCTCTTTGGAAGTTTGGAATAACAACAATTGAAATTAGGGAACAGAATTAAAATTATATTTTATTATAGTAAATAATAAAGTTGACCTAGATAAAGGATAGCTTTGTGTTAAATTATTAAAATGAAATACTGAAAAATAAACACTGTCTTTTATGGTTTTGTTCCTTTTGTAAAAAAATGTCTAGCTTGCAGAGTTGTAAACCTTCTAGAGAACTTTTTCAGTACAGTGTGGGTGTTACAGACCTTTTGGAATTTATGTCTTCCTTAATACTTGCATAAGTGGGCCTAAAGATGAGATGTTAAGACAAATAAGTTCATTTTCTTCCTGCAGCTTAATAACTATTTTTGTCTGAAGCAGAAAACTGGGGCAGGTGTTTAGACTGAAGCAGGAAAGCTGAAAAGTTGTGATGGAGCGTTAAGTGATGTCCTCTCTCGCACTTGAACAGTTTGCAGTGATATATATATACAAGGTATATTCCCCAGTGTTCTTGAGCTAGGAAGATGGGAAGCTACATCTGCAGGTCAGGTTGGGCAGTGCCTGTTTCTCAGAAGGGAGATGCACATCCAGAAGTAGGTGCCTAGGCTCCTTAGCCCACACAGGAGAAGAATGAGATTCAGAGAACGGGCTGTGACCATTTTGTATACTGACCTGGGAGCCCCTGGCCAGTCAGAAATGCAGAAGCAAATGGGTGGCTGATGCTCTCTGCCTGTTCATTGTACAGAAGTGTAAAAATTGTTTTTTCTGAGTATCTGGCTTGGTAGTAACAATCTCTTAAAAATTGTTGTGTTGTACTTAAAAAATAAAAGAGGTCTTTAGGTAGTAGTGCAGTACTCAAAAGAATCAACAAGAGAAAGACTGAAATTATCTCCTAACTTCCAGAAGGGTCATTGAACCACTGGTATCTGAGTGAGGTGAGATTGTGGGTGTGCTCCACACATGTTTTTGAAAATTTGGCCAATTGCAGAAAAGACTGGGGGGAAAAAAATGGAACCTGTCTTTAGACCCTAGTTGTTATGCATCCTGCTTAGAAGAGCAAGAAGAGTTCCAAGTCTTGGATGCAGTCAGCACCTACTGTACTGATTTGAAGGGGGAAGAAAAGCTACAGCTGCACTTTGTTGCACTTTGTTTTGCTCTATCGGATATATTCTGGTTTGGGTAATGCAGAAGGTGCTAATTTTGCTTTTTTAAAAAATCCAAATAGGTTCAAACTGGGGGAAATACTATAAGGTACCGCCTTGACTAGGTGACTTGTGTGCATGTGAAGGAGGAGTGCAAATGCAAGAAGTCTCTTGTGAGCAAAAGTACAGCAGACAAAGAAAGTTCCTTTCCTTTTAATGCCTCAAAGTACCTTGATGAGTTGTGTAATGGAAGGGAAAAGTCACTGTGATTTTAGCGTTAGCAAAAAGTCTAGCCTGATCATTCCCATGGTATTGATTCAAATACTTAATCTGCTGAGCCTCTTGTGTTTGGACTGATTGCAACTCAAACCCGGCAGTGGTAACTGAGTTAGTCAAGTTTAAGGAATTGGAAAACTGGAGTTTGTAATGAAAGTTTTCTTGCTGTGGGGCTTTGCTTTGGAAAGCAATGTTTAATAGACTAATCCTGGGGGGAAAAAAAGACTTCTCTAATACCTGAAATGCTAATTTTTTGAGAGGCATGAGTATTCTAGGTAATTTCTATAAGGACCCCAGGTGTCTGTGGAATTTTACAGTTGACCCACAGTACCAAAGAATTCAGGTCTGTTTGTGGTTTGTTAGGTTTTTGGGTTGTTTTTTGGTTGTTTTTTTTACTATAGGGTTACTTAGCTGTTGCCAAGAGCACATATGTTGCCAGAGATTTTTGTGTGCCTGCTCTTTTGGGACCAGTCAGTATTTGTCTCTAGCCTGGTGTTTTTCCTGAAAAGAGGAATTAAGTAGGTTGTAATAAAAGCTGCTTTTGGCATCTCTTAATAGCATTTTGTAATATCTTAAAGTCAATGCAAGGCAAAATGGGAGGGCACTAAATATCATAGTCTATTCTATTTTTATTAGTGTTAGTAGATGGCTGGGTGTCTATCAGTGTGAAAGGCAAAAAGGGAGGGGGCAGAATGGAAGATGTAGTCAAGAAGTGACTCTGCCTTGCAGATGAGGAGTGGAAGGAACTAAAAGTATGGGCAAGGCTGCAAGGCTATTTACAGCATGCAGCATCAGCGCTGGATAAATAAGATAAAGAACTATAATTAATATTGTTGCTGGATTTAAGACTATTAATGGAAAAACTTGTGGGTCATAGTGGGTTCAAAATTCCTTCAAGGGACACCTTTTATGAAAAAAAAAATTGAGTACAACCAGTACACAGTATTTTGGTATTTATATTAGCAAAAACGAATTTTTTTGCGTATGTAGTGCACTATATAAGCAATTCCATTGTTTCCTTGTGTAGCCATTTTTTGTTCAAAAACTAATTGATTCACAACTCCAGAAGAGGAAAGGCCCCAAGTATAAAACTTCTAGAAAGGTGTGCCTGAAGCCTCAGGAAACTACTCTGTTCATTGTTAGAGGAACAAGCTGTGTGAGGAAAAAACAGTGGCCATGAAATACAGGAGGCTCGTGGTCCTTGGAAATAAGGCAGACCTAGCTGGTCTCTAGTGTTCAATTGTAGTCTGATCATCCTTCAAGGGAAAGGATTGGTCCAGACAAGTCCAGGGTCTGTGAGGAAGAGCACTTGGTTCCTTTCCCTATTGGAGTTGTCACATGGGGATGAGGAGCACTGAGCCAGTCCCTTTGTTATCTCAAAGATTTGCGTGAGCCCCATCTAGTCCCGTGTTTTGCTCTCTTGATAGGTGCCCCTGTTATATAGGTTTTTATGTGTTTATGTACCCATACTTGTTTTCAAAAGGGAAATAAATACTATACTAGTGGCAACAGAGGTGAAAGTGGTAGGTTTCATTTTTTTTTTAAAAAGTCATATAAAATAGTTAGATAATAGATAAAATAAAGTAGTACCAATACTTTAATTGCTCCCTGTTCTATGATTTGCAGTGCTGGTTCTGCAACTCTACTGCAGCTACTGACCTACTATTAAGTACACTTGTGTGTACAGGTATCGCCTGCACAGTATGTGCTGCTATTAGCGTTCTGCATCCACGTGTTTGCTTTATTAGCCAGTGTTCCTAGAAAACACCACCTCACCTTGCCTGGACTGGTTATCTGTGTGCTTGTATGCCTCTGGGTTTGGCTCTCTAAGGTGCAGCCTTTGGTGACTTATCTGGATATCAGCATGATTGATTGGCTGGCTTAACACTGTTGGCACCATCAGGACCCTTAGACCTGGATTGGTGAGAGTTTGATAGAGCAGGGAGGAGAATTCTGATTTTACTTTCACATTCAGGCTGTAATTCAGATACTGAGAAGATAATGTTGAATGACTACAAAGATCTGCAGTGGATAACTTCACAGGACAGTTTGAAGTTTTCCTCTACTCTTTTCTTGAATCTTTTGATATCTTCCTGAGTTTCCCTCCAGAGATAAAGACCATCAGCAATTATGATATGATTCAAGTCCTTGTTATGTAATTGTCCTTCAGAACCACATTTAGGGTTCTAAATCTATGAGCTGCTGTATCCAGTAAATTGGGAGGACCCAGGCTGGAGCCTGTGTCACGTGGCTTATGGGAGAGCAACTGACTTTTCTTTTGAAGAAGTAGTAAGTCAAATCTGGAAAGCAGAAGTTATCAGAGTACACAAGTATAACTTGTGAGAGGTACAAGGAAGTGTACTATGTAACACTTTGGTCACTAAGGATTACATTGCAGTGGAGAATGTAGCTCTGCAAAAAGCTGGACTTCAGTTTGGAATGAAGAAATGGCTACACAAGGAAATACTGTAATTGCTTATATAGTGCACATGATTATCAGCGCTGCTGTAGTCTGCTTTCCTTCTCATGTTTGTGTGGCTGTTGAAACCAGAGCAGTGAAGAAACAGTGAGTTCTAACCCGATATATCAAGTAGTGATTCATTTTATTCAGCTGCAGTCATTTTTGTACATGGCTTTGTGATTATAAATACCTATGCAAATGAAGATTCTGAAGAAGTTGATGCGATGACTGGGTCAAACTGGAAAGTTGAAGGCAATTTCTGTAGTATGCTGTCTTTTTTTGGATCAGAATGATTAATTAGACACTTCACTTCCCACTACACTACTGTTTATGCATACACACATGCAGTGGCTTTATGCCTCTGGAGCATTTCTCTTGTAGAGAGATTACTTATGTTGTCCTTCTGTGGG